TGGGGGGGGGTCAGGGCAGAGTGTGGATACAGATCTGAGAAAATGCCCATTTTGTAACATTTAAAAAATTATAATAATGATGATGAAGAGAAAATATGAGAAATGCTATCATTGTAGTCATCAAGATCACCAAAACATGACCTTATTACTAATAAGAAGAAAGAAGTTTGGATTAGACCAAATCCAGAACATGCAGCCCTTTTATGACACCTCCCCGCTTTGATTAGTAAATTTAGATGGATTTGCACAAGTGAGACACACCTTTTCTCCCAGCCAACCGCCCTACATGTTAAGAAAAACAATCACTGTTTTCCCTTCCCTCTGGACGTATTCCTAATTAGTTTTCTTTTTTTAATTAGAAGACACTCTCTCAACCTTCCCGGCATCCCCCAACTTAATGAGCTCCTCCAGATGTTGAATGGGAAACAAAAAACCACAGGAGAAAAACAGCTGGACATTAAATACAACGAGAATTACCAACAGCTTATTTTGGAAAGCAGTCCACATTCTCACATTTTCTAAGTAACCGCTGGTGTGACATTTTCCCTCCAGAAGTGGTCAACAAGTGCTGCAGGCACGTGGCAGGAAACCCGAGCGCTGCTCCTGTCCTGCCGGCAGCTGTACCAGCGTGTGGAAGACCTGCCTGCATTTCTGGCTCTGCTGCTGACGTCGCCCGGATTTCTCACTTTCGGTCACGAACGCTGACCTCCTCCACCCAGCCTGGAGGGATTTGCCATATTTCTTTCCTAGGAAACCAACTCTTTCAGGTGACAAGGAGGGCCAGCATGTGTGGTGACTGCTTGATAACCGGCTTGCACTGTTGTGGAAGCCTGGGGTGAAGAAACCCTACGAGACAGGGCACCCCAGGATCCACACTGCAACCACACCAGCTTCTCAAGGGCGCTCAATGACTGCTTGATGAGTGACTGTGTGAGCAGGGGACCCACCCCCTTCCTCCCTCTCAGATGGAGGCCACCTGGGATCCACAACAGAAGCCCAGCGCCTCTAAGGCCTTTGTCATTGGTCACATGGAGCTTTCTTTACCAGGGGACCCACTGGTCCAAGATGATGAGGAATGATCTGGGGGTCACTGTTAGTGTCACCTCAGCAGATGCTCCTGGGGCACTGCAGTGCGTGCCTGGGGATATTACAACACGTGGACACCTTGGCCAAGAAGCTAGGTCACCAGCAAACTTTATCATTCATGAGATAATTAAAGCAAAATATATGACAAAATAAAACAAAAAGTATCTTCTTTCCATAGTTTTCATAAGTGTATATATCATTAATAAATATGTATAAATAATAAGTAAATATGAATCAATATTTATTCAAGTTTGGCTAAGTTCGTGGTTATAAATGAACTCATTGATTACAAAAATATTGAAAAATAAAATAAAATCACCTGTATGACTAGCCCTTAATTTTAATCTCATGGCACACAAAATATGTTTTTTTGTCTGACAAAAAATAGATATAATTTTGATTCAGTCATACCAGATGGCTATTGTTGTGTTGGCTGTTGTCATTTTTTTATTTGACAATCTAAGAAAAATAAGGCCAGTGCCCCTGACTAAATAGCCAGGTATTGCATGTTTTAAAAATTCTCACAGCACCCAGTTGAGAACTGCTGGCTTAGATATTCCATTTCAGCCTCGTTTCTATATATGTACATTTTTAATAAAATTAAGTTGGTTTGCATGATTTCATGTCCTGTCCTTTTACTCACTCTTATTAAAAAATTATATGTTTGGCCTTTGGCCAATTATTTTTGACTTAAAAAATGTCTTTGATGTTTGCTATCTTGTGCTATCAGAGTTATTTTTAGTTTACTCTGTCTTTTCTGGGAATCTGCAGGATATATTTATCCTGCCTTTAATTCTCCACATGATTACTTTAAGTTTAGAAATTTCTTAGTTCACATTTTTATTATTAAAGTCCAAAATTAAAATCATTTTATCTCTTCAGAAAAGATAAAATTTTGTTTTATTTTTAGGGAAAAAAATGAACCTTATTTTCAACCATGGGAGAGTGCCACAGGAGTGCTCAAAACACACATAATGTGTCAATTCCATGCCAGGCTCCTGGGTGGCAGTGTCCTCAGTGCCCTATCTGCACACAGTCACCGTGACGTCGCCGCCAATCACCTCGTCCTCAAAGCGGAGGAGATGAAGTTCACAGCTTCTTCTGGGGTCAGCCCTAAAGAGATAAAATTGTGGTCTGTTTTTACCATCTCCCAACATCCTAGCTCTTCCTGATGAAACGAGAGCTGAGACACACAGCACCCTCCTTTGGAGAACCAGGTTCTCCATCCCGTTCCCGATGGCCACCACCTCTCCAGTTGCCACCACCTCCCCGGAGGCCACCACCTCTCCAGCAGCACTTTGCATTTGCTTGATGTTACTTTCTGACGCCCTCTGCTGAGTCTGCCTTTCTGTTCGATTCAACACCTACCCTTCTTGGGCATCCTCCTGTTAAAGAGTTTTGTTTTTCAAAAAAGGCTACCAAGTGACATGCTATGTGAGCCGTGTGATCCAGGTGGCATGTCTATGTCAACGGGAAGTCTTTGGCTGCGGTAGCAGAAGGCCCTACTCTAACAGACTGGAACAACGGGGAACGACTAGCTGTTCGCTGAGATGTGATCTGACTCCCGTGCTAGGACATGGAGAGTCAGTGTTGTCCCAGGCTAGAAGCCCTCATGATCACAATGGGGCTGCCAGTGCCCTGCAGGACTGCAAGCTCATGGCCAAATAGGGGAGGCACAAGGGGCCACCTGTAAAATCTGGAAAGGGGGAATGGGAACACGTGCACTCTCCATGACAACAGTTTCCTGTTGACTTCCTGCGTAAGCGACCCATTGTCTGGGAATAAGATGTTGGAATTAGAGTGTATTTTCCTCAGTCTCTATGCAGCTGGTCTTGCCCTGACATTGGAGGAGGCCTAATATCTGTTTCTTTTATAGAACAGTAACTTTTGTTGCGTAATTAAAAATAATAAAACTGCAAGCATTATTTCTGCCTGAAAAATTCTGAGCCCTTAAAATGTTTTATTCAAGAAGAAACAATTTTCTTCAATTTTATGTCTGATTACGCTTCTCTTTTATTTGCGCTAGCTTTTCTACAAGGACATTTATAATTATTAGTCTAGATTCTGTTCTTTGCCCTCTCAATCCATTTATAGCATCAGTTATGTACAAAGAATAAAACAATTAGCTTTATTTATCCTGCACATTACAAAAAAGTGTGTTCCTTAGTAAAGTCAGCAGATATCAAAAGTTATACAGATGAACACAGTCATTACTGGGGCAAAAGCAGTCTCAATATTTTACCATGTGTCTTTTGGTCTTTTTTCTATGTGATAACCAATTCATGTGTTAAACAGTCATGAAATATTTCTTGACAACATATTTTGCTGGCCCTAGGTGATATCCTGCTGAGGGTATACAAAGTGCAATGATTAAAAGTACTCATATTGGTTATTTTTTCTTCTGTACTTATACGGATTTGAGATACAATTGACCCTTGAATAATGCAGGGGTTAAGGGCACCGATCACTCTGGCAGTTGAAAATCTGCATATAAATTAAGTTGGCCCTCAATTCCCAGCCTTGGGTAGAAAATAAACATTTGTTCCTGTTTGTGTTCAGTTTTAGGGTTGCCTTTTATATTTTGTAAAATGTGATTATATTATTGACCATGTAAAACATTTTCTTGTTGCAAAAAGCCCTCACTGTATGCAGAGTTCTCACTCTCTGCTCATCGCCCACTCATGTCCTGCGTGACTGTTTCATCGTCACTCCCAGTGGGACCTTTCTGTGTTTCATTTTGTGAAATTAAGACAGATGTTTAGCCCGGCCAGTGTGTCTCAGTTGGTTGAGTGTTGTCCCAGGCACCAAGAGGTCTCTGGTTCCATTCCTGGTCAGGGCACATGCTCGGTTGCGGGCTCTACACCCAGTAGGGCAGCATGCAGAAGGCAGCCAATCGATGACTCTCTCATAGATATCTCTGTCTCTCTCCCTTCCTCTCTCTATAAAATCAATAAAAACATATATTTTTTTAAAAATATGTTTATATTCTAGTCACTTTCTCTCTGACACAAAAAGTAACTGACTGCACATGCAATGTACACAGCCCCACTGGTTTCTCGTAGCCACAGATTTCCCGGACACCCCACGTCCTGTCAGTTCCATCAGGAAGGTCTGTGCCCACGACACTGTGCTGTGAGTGGCTGCATCAGTCTATCGTCACCTTCTCCAGGACGGGCAGTGTCTGTTCCCTGTGACTGCTGTGACAAAGCACCACAAGCTGGCTGACTTAAAACAACACAAATTTATCTTCTCGCCGCTTTAGAGACCAGAGATATGAATTCGAGGTGTGGGTAGTTTTGCTTTCCCTCCAAAAGCTCCAGGGGAGGGTCCTTCCTGCCTCTTCTAGCTTCTGGTGGCCCCAGGTGTTCCGGGGCTTGTGGCCTCATCATTCCAACCTCCGCCTCGGGCTTCACGCGGCCTTGCACCTGTGCCTGTCTTCTCCCCTTTCCGTCCGATCTCCCTCTGCTTCACTCTCAGAAGGACGCCTGCCACTGGACTTAGGGCTCACCCAGGTGATCCAGGATAAACTCCTCGTCACAAGATCCTTAACTTAATAGGTCTGCAAAGACCACATCGGGTCCCATTCACAGGTTCTGGAGGTAAGGATGTGGACAATCTTTTGGAGGCCACCATCCAACTCACTACAGTTGGTGATTTTCAATTTCTTGACATAGCAAGCAGTGCCTGGTGCACGCAGTGCTTCATAGTTCTAGAAATGTTCAGAGGTCAAGGGTAGCTGCCTGTGGAGTTTTGCTAGAGAGCACATACGCAAAGCCCTCTACAGGGTGACATTTCCCTTGATACAAATGACTAAATATCTACCCATGTTTTTAAAAGAAATTTGCATGTTTTTTCAATAAAGTATTTTTTCTTGTTGTTTGCACATTTTTCCATTGAGTGTTTCATTCATTTTTTCCTTGATTATTTAAAACATCTTATATGTTAGGATTTTTGTCAGCACCATGCTCAAAGTAGGGTTTTAGCCCTTTCACAAGGGTAAGAATACTTCCCCACCCATCTGTGAATAATTTCTCAGTTTGCCATGGCTTTTTATCATGGTGTTCTGGGGAGGGGAAGAGCAAACATTTATATATATTTGCTTCTATTAAATTTTCTTTATTTAATTGCATCTTAATTTGAGTCCTAGTTGGAAGGTTTCACCACTGAGATTTTAAAAAATTGCCCATGTGCTCTTCTAAGTTTGTGGCTTCGTTTTAATTTTTTATAGATATAACCTATTTGGACTTTATTCTGTTGCCTGGAGTGAAATATAGATCCAAATTCCTATTTAGTTCCTTGATGTTTTTTAATTTTGCCTTGATAATATGAGGTGCCACCTTTATCATAAACTGAAGTCCCTTGTTCCCTGGGCCTGCTTCTTCCCCCTCTGTCCCCTGGCCCGGTTGTCCAGCCATGTTCTATACCCATTTAGTGAGGGAGACTTTATGACTGGCTTTCATATCTGGTAGGCCTGGCTCTCCTCTTCCTCCTTGCTCATTTTTATGGAGATTTTCTAGATATTCTTGCATAATTGTTTGTCCATATCAACTTTAGATTCAGCTGCACAGCTGTGACAAATACTGACTACTGACATGTGTATTGGACTGATGCTCAATTCAGTTGCTGACTCAGATAGAACTGAGTCTTCCTGTCCAAGATCAAGGGACACCCTCCCATTGGTTCAAGTCTACCTCATAGGCTTTTAAAAGTATTTGGAAGTTTCTCCACATAGATTTTGCAATTGCTTATCAAATCTATTCATAAGAATTTCATGTTCTTAGTTGCCACTGTAACTGAGATTTTTCTCTTTTCTTATATCTAAGTGCTTGTTGTGGGTCCGTAGAAAGACGATTAATTTTGTGCGTCATTTTTATATCCTCTTAAATGTTCCTAAAGGCGATTTTTAGTTATTTAAATAACTTACTCAGATCTCAAGGTCAAGTTGATGAATGGAGTTCTCTTTAGAGGCAGTAGACACACACAGGTACAGGCACAGACACCAAACACCAGAAACAATGTCTAGAACTAACATTAGACTATCAATGGGCTAATGCCCAAAAAAAGATTCAGGCTCCTCCTTCTGAAAAGTGTATTTTATCAGCTGTTTTTTGAACAGCAAAACAAAGGAAAGAAAATATTATGCACAAAAGGAGCAGCACAATTCTCTCCTATTGTGCATGCATAAAATATTTAGAGAAGGCCTGTGCGTGGAAAGCAGTGCCTTTAGCATATTTAAAATACGTTTTTTCAGAGGTGGTGACTCAGCCAGGGGCCCTCCTCTCCTTTACAGGCACTAAAGGACCTCTGACAGGAATTGCTTGGCAAATGCTTATGGACCCTATTCAAGAACATGATATTAAAGTTGAGATTCTACCTCTGCTTTCAGTGTTATTTGCAGATTTAAAATAACAAAGTGTTAAAAATATATATTATAACAAGTTACTCCCTACCATAAATGCATCAAGGCAGCTGGAACCGACTATATTTAAGGTATTAAAATTGAAGTTGATGGTGACCCCACATTATACATTACATCAAGTGGAGATGCCTTTAAATTTATATTAAATTCAATTTAAATGCCATCAAAACCATGGTTGACAAAGTCCTGACAGATGAATATTTCAGTATGATTCAATAGCAGTAAACTTTATTTTCTTACCTTGAGGCAAGGTGATGCCGTTTTATATGCAGTAGGGTGAACTGGGTTTGTAGTAACATGGCTTATGATTTCCATAAAATAAAATTTTATCTTTAAAAAATGATTTTGAAGGGTTTGAGTCTTGAACTCTGAGAACCTTTCTTCAGGGTGTTTCTTGCTCTACTCATTACTTTATGCTATGAAATCCATTAGCTCCCTTAGACCACGCTTCAAAATATCTTCCAGTTTAGAATTAACAATTAGTCACTTTAAAGGTTTTATGTTTGATGTTGACATTCAGTAATATTTCACTTTGACTTTTCCACTTACAACTCTTGGTTATAGGAGGAAATTGCCTTACCCAGAAATTCACTTGTCATTGGTGTTGAATGCCTAGGTGTTAAATGAGTGAATGAAATGATTAATTAATTGATTAGTTTTGTAACTGTTTCCAAGAAACAGCCTCTTGTCTGCC